ATAAGTCTTTCCTTTACTTGAGATGGGAAAATATTCTTATCACCAACATTTTGAAAAATCCACGCATATCCAAACCCTATTGTACATAAAAGTTTCCTCATGTCAGTGGCCCAGCTGTACCGATTGTATGGGAAAGAAAGAGTAAGGAAGAGTGAAAATGACAGAGAGAGGGAGAGTGCGTGTGTGCGCGCGCGTGTGTGTGAGTGTGTGTGTGTGTGTGTGTGTGTGTGTGAGTGTGTTCGTGTGTGTGTGTGTGTGTGTGTGTGTGTGTGTGTGTGTGTGTGTGTGTGTGTGTGTGTGTGTTTATATTTGTGTGCGTGCGTTTATAATTGTTTGGTTACCTCAAGCTCTTGCACAAAGTATACGACACACTACGCTCGACCAGGACGATTTCTCTTAATGTTAGTAGGTTTTAGTACTCCACTCTGGCAACAACAAAAAACAGTGTTTCCATTGTCCAAGAAAAAGGTAGAGAAAAACCGACTGCATGAGAAATGACTAATGCTTCTCAACGATCAGTTTTGTTTTGCTCCAAACTGCAGACCTCTAGCCTTGAACTGATGTTGCATAAAGCTGGATTGCGTCTATGCCTTGCATCTCCCCCCCCCCTCGCCGCCCCTTTTTCCGAGCCGCGCCCCCCCCCCACCCCCCACCCCCACCCCCACCCCCGAAACTCAGAATGTTTTGGAAATCACTATCCCTTTCCTCCCATTCGAGCTTCCCTTGAGGGAAGGGGAAAATAATTTATCAGTTGACCAGTTATATAACAGCTGACATGACTTCAGCACGAGCCTCATTTTTCATCTCCTTATTGTAGTGCCAAGTCTCTTCGAGACAACAACAACTTTTACCAGTAATGGTATTGCTACTGTGTAACAGCTGGGTCAGACTGAAGCCATTGTGACTGCACTACTACTACTACTACTACTACTACTACTACTACTACTACTACTACTACTACTACTACTACTACTACTACTACTACTACTACTACTACTACTACTAAAAATAATAATAATAATAATAATAATAATAATAATAATAACAATAATAATAATAATAATAATAATAATAATAATAATAATAATAATAATAATAATAATAATAATATTTATATTTTCAACAAAAAATAGTAATAATAATAACGATAATGATAATGATAATAATAAGAGTAATAATAATAGTAATAATAATACTTATTATTATTATTATTATTATTATTATTACTAGTAAAAGTACCTGTTCTACGAACATAATAATAACGAAGAAGTATTAGAAAAGTTAAGAAGAGGAAAAAGACTGAAAACAGGAAAGAAACAAAACATAAATATTTTACCTTGAATTTATCCATGTAGCACCCCCTCTTGACTACCTCTAGAGGTAAGACTTCTTCCCCCTCTTCGAAGGCGTGGCATTTTCTCCTAAAGTTCCAGCTCAATCACTTTTTTTTTTTTATTGTTGCTTCCTAGAAGAACCTAATCTAGATTCTAGATCTACCCTAGATCTCGAAGGATAGTAAAGACATAGGCCAATAATTAAAAGAAGGAGCCTAGGCCCATAGATAGATGTAAGTTTAAAAATTCACATTTTTAACAACTGACATGCGTCACAGATGGCCTAGATTTGTAGGTCTATTCACAGCATGAAAATTCCACTTTCAAGAATACTTTAATGATTCTTGATCTCGATCTAGATTCACCGACAGCCTTGTTCTAGACTCTAGATCTATTCACAGCATGAAAAAATCAACATTCAATACTTTCATCATTCTTGATCTCGATCTAAGATTCACATATAAATCTTGATCTAGCCTAGATTTAGATCTTAGAATTTATAATGCACTGCAAGAAAAATCCACTTTCAATATTCCATAGGTTATCGAAATATCACAGACCTAGATTCTACTTTCATTTCATGATTCTTCTTTATCTCGATTTAGATCTAGATCTAGATTCTAGATCTAGATTTAGATCTAGATTCTAGATCTCATATAGACACTGTGCACAAAATACACTCATCCTTCGGCGTGCGCGCTAAATCCACTGCAGGAGAAATCTACTTTCAATACTTTCATAATTGAATCTTTGACTTTGGCTACGATTGGCTGAATCCTTGACTTTGACCCACGAATACATTAAATAGGCCCACGGTAGGCGACTCTTGGCCTGTCACTCTCACTACCCTCGCTCTGCACACAGGGCTTTCTAGCCTCCTCTATCTCTTCCTCTCCCTTACTCTCTCTCTCTCTCTCTCTCTCTCTCTCCCTCTCTCTCTCTCTCTCTCTCTCTCTCTCTCTCTCTCTCTCTCTCTCTCCCAGTGTAGGGTAACAAACGAAAAAGTCCCCACTTTGTAACATGTATTACTACCTGATTCTTCTTCTCCTTCTTTTTCTTCTTCTTCAGACATCCTGGGGCAAGAGAGGCGAAAAATCAGGCGAGTGGGTAGGGAAGTCAGGGGAGAAGACGGGAGGGGAAGTAGAGAGGCGCGAGCACGCCACGCGAACCCGGTGGGAAGGAGAAAGGAAGAAGGAAGACTGCAGTAT